AAAAAAGACAAAAACAAACCAACCCGACAAAAACAAAACCCTAAAGTTTTCCAAAGTTAAATACATGTTTTGACATCCCAACTTTTGGATTTGACTTTTAAGCAGATACCATGTACTTCTCAGTTGGCATCATAAATAGGGAAGCAACTGTTTTGGGGGAGGGAGGTTAATCAGGTAACAGGAAGTGGAGGTATCTAGATTCAATACTGAACTAGGTTACTAGGCTCTGCTGTTAAGAGAGGAGTTCTCCTTTTTGCATTTCCACTGGTTCCCTGCCTTCATCTCAGTATTCATCATTAAGTTTGTTGTATTTCATAGGAAGAAACACCAAAGTCCTATATTTTATGATTTTTACTTAGCTTTTAATTTCTAAATATTAGAAATTCCTCAGGTGTTGACTTTTTAATTAAAAGTCCAATATAAAAACCATAAAGAAATATTTACATGTATAAACAACCTGAACAAGGTAAGCTCCAGTGCCTCATGAAAACCTGTAACTATTTAAAAACACAGGCTGTCAAACTACAGTTACAGACACTGAATTATCATAATTGCTTTTCATTGGAGAATACATTTCCCTTTCCTATCTTCATCATAGAATCCAAGATTATTAATCCCAAATAAATACCTGCTGGCTTCCAATCTCCTTCCCATTGCTCAAAGATTGTTGTTGTCATTGATTAAATGGCATCCATAAAGACTTTTGGAAGGTGACTGTTGACCCTGATTTACCATAGTCTATGTAGCACTTGTATCCACTGCTACATGTATCCACTGTGGATACATCTTCAATGTATTTATTGCAAAGAAGGCATTTCATTGTCTATAATTGCAGTTTCCCCAGCCCAGCCCTAAGCAATCAGTAATCTACTTTCTGTCTCAATAGATTTCTCTGTACTGTATTTTCACATAAATAGGACTATGGTTCAGCAGTAAAGACTTGACCTATAACACAGGAGACGCAAGAGACGTAGGTTTGATCTCCAGGTTGAGAAGATCTTCTGGAGAAAGGCATGGCAACCCACTCTAGTATTCTTGCCTGGAAAATTTCACAGACAGAGGAGCCTGATGGGCTGTGGCCCATAGTGTTGCAGAGTTGGACATGACTAAGCAACTGAGCATGCATGCACATACACATACAGTTCCTTCTGACTGGCTTCTTCCACCTAGCATGTTTTCAAGGTTCAATTGTATTGTAGCAGATATCAGTACCTCATTCCTTCTATGGCTGACTAATCCATTGTATGAACATACGACTTTCTGTTTATCCATTAGTGTATTTCCACTTTTTGGCATTTAGGAATAATGCTGAAATAAATATTGATGTACAGCTTCCCAGGTGGCACAATGGTAAAAAATCTGCCTGCCAATGCAAGAGACGCAGGAGGTTTAGGTTTGATCCCTGGGTCAGGAAGATCCCCTGGAGTAGGAAATGGCAACCCCCTCTAGTATTCTTGCTTGGAAAATCCCATGGACAGAGGAGCCTAGTGGGCTATGGTCCATGGGGTCACAAAGAATCGGACACAACTGACTGACTAAGCACACCAATATTGATGTACAATTTTCCGTGTGGACGTACATTTTCATTTCTTTTGGGTATATTCCTAAGATTACAAATGTTGGGCCATATGGTAACTCTATGTTTAATCATTTGAGAAACTGCCCAAGTTTTCCAAAACAGCTACATTTTACATTCCCAATAGGAATATAGGGAGGTTTCAATTTCTCCACATCCTCACCAATACTTGTTAGTATTGAACTTACTGATTCCAGTAATCCTACTGTGTATGAAATAATATCTCATTGTTCTTTTGATTTTTATTCCCTTGATGACTAATAACACTATGCATCTTTTAATGTGCTTATTTGGCTATTTGTATATTTTCCTTGCAGAAATGTTTATTCAGATTCTTTGCCCATTTTTAAATTAATTCTAATTGAGTCAAAATTTTGATTTGTCTTTAGTTTTGAGTTGTAAGAGTTATATATATATTCTGGATACAAGTGCAAAATCAGATTTATGATCTGGAAATACTTCCTCCCATTCTAAGGGTTGTCCTTTCACTTACTTGATGGCATTAATTCAGATATTTTTGAAGGACTCAACTATAATCATTCTACTTATCACACTTTTAAACACTCTTGTTTTTTATGTACTGAATAATATACTATCAATAAAACAGGGACTTGTAATTGTGGGCTTCCCACGTGGTGCTAGTGGCAAAGAACATGCTTGCCAATGCAGGAGACATAAGAGACGATCCCCTGGAGGAGGGCATGGCAATCCACTCTGGTATTCTTGCCTGGAGAATTCCATGGACAGAGGAACCTGGTGGGCTATAGTCCATACAGTCACAAGGAGTCAGACATGATTGAAGAGACTTAGCACACACTCCCACAGTAAAAGTAACAGATCAGACTATTGTGCAATAAAGCAGGAAGAAGCTCACTAGTCAGAAGACACAAGGTTTCTTCCTACTTATATTACCAGCGATATGACACTTGAAAGTCCTTCTTTCTCTCTGGGTCTTAATGACCTAATCTACAAAATGTAAGGTTGAACTAATGGAGTGATTTTAAAATATTCTTAATCAGTGAAAAACTTATTTTCAAGGAAGTACTAAGTGGAACCCCAATATATAGGATAAAGGAATTCTCAGTCACATAAATTTATTATTTATTGTCAAGATTTATAATATTTCTTTAAAAATAAATCAGTAAGTAGAGAGGAGTCATATTAATACAAAATACAAGATTTTTGGTGATATTTGCAACCTTCTATCAGGATCAGCATCAGTTTGGTTCTGCATTCTGTAATAACTTCAGGAAATTCTGACTTTAAGATGACTCACAAAAGATTTCTTGCAAATTGAATGAGTAAGAGCTTGGTGTGTAATCTCCTAACACTCTTCAATTAAACAAAGAGGGCAAAAGAAGATTTATTCTTCAGAGTATTGTTTCTATTCTAAGTGTTCTATGTAAAATAGATCTCTTTAAAAATAAATTTGAATCAAGCATTTGCAAAATTTCTGAAGCATATCCCATAGGATAAAGAATGGAAACCAACCAACTACTAGAGTTCCAGGTTCATAAATTTGAAGACTAATACTTAAGAACCAAGATCATTTGTGATACCCCTAGGATGACAGGACTTGTTGTGGCCACTGATTTGGTGAAGTAAACTGGATCTCATTCGTTTTTCTTAAGAAAAGGATAGATGGAAGAGGAGGAAAGGGAGAAAGTAACACACTTGATGGAAATAATCCCTCAACAAAAGTACCATTTTCTACAGATATTAAGAATCCTTCTGAACTCTGGAGCCCCAGAAATCTGATAATGGAGGGGAGAAGAATGTCTTTAGAAACAACATAAACTTTGAAAATACATATCCTTAGTATTCCTCATAAATCCTTGACCCTGAAGGTAACAGCACATGTATCTCTCATGAATAATCATGAAGACCTCTCTGCTAAGGCACCAGGATGGAGTCTTAGCCCACCAGCCTCTTCAAACATCTTGAATTCACTTATTAGCCATTTTAGTATATGAATATGGTGACCATACAAATTGCCATCCAAATGAAGACACCGTGAGAGCGAGAGGTAGCACTATCAAAAATTAGCCTGGGATAACAGTTGCAAACAGTTGTAAACCACAAACAGTTGTAAACCCAGGCAAACTGGGATGAATGGTCAACCTGTCTTTTTCCCACTTCATGCTAAAGGACCAACAATTTTCAGACATGTTCCACTGCTTTTATAAAATATCAACACATCTTCCATGAATCTTCACCTATTATAACTTTAACCTGACTTTTCAACTTTTTAAAATAAATTTTCGAAGTTATTTTAAAATATAATGGGGTCAGTCATGAAGAAACATCTGATATGTTAAGGGAAAAACATTTCACATCTGAACTCAGGGTGCTGACAATACACAAAAGAGAATATAAAATAAATATAAAAGTTGCAGTTGCTTTATTAAATATGAATTTGATTTATGCCATCTATTTTAACTACATCAACATAAAATAATTAGGTTTTACATTCTTAGAAATACATGATAGCTATAGATGAATATTTTGGGGTCCTTATTTATTTGGTTCCATTTACTGAATTTTCTCTTGAAATATGTTTTTCTGTTTACATTATTCTATTTTATAATATTTGACAGAAAACATCACATCTTTTATTCTTCCTTCATCCTTTTAGCTCTATTCATAGCACCATATACCTCATTCTTCATATATGTATTCTTTATACTGTATAAAAAGATTTTTTTTTTTTTAAATATCCAATCCACAAATGCTTTCCTGATTTCAAAGATTTTTTTTTTTTAAACTCTGTTAATTAGCAGATTCTCTTTCAATGCTTTGCCACTTCTATTTGATACCACTGAGCATCTGGGGGCTGAAATCTCATCCAAAACTAACAGACAAAATATTTTTTGTCCTGTATCTACATGCTATTAACTAATCCACATTTATGGTATCAGGGTCATAAATATTGTTAGTACAATATAAAAAGCAACAGTCTAAAACAAAACTATTATTTCTTTCTATAATTCAAAATATTAATGGAAGAAATTTGGTTACTAATGATATTTGATCCAAATTCCCACGTGGTGCTGGTGGTAGAGAGCCTGTCTGCCAATGCAGAAGACATAAGAGACACAGGTTTGATCCCTGGGTTGGGACGATCCCCTGGAGTAGGAAATGGCATCCCACTCCAATATCCTTGCCCAGAGAATCCCATGGACAGAGGAGCCTGGTGGACTACAGTCCATGGGGTCTCAAAAGAATTGGACACCACTGAAGCTACTCAGCACACATACAAGCATCTAGAAGTTACTTAGATATGTGTCTAAAAATAAAAAAGTAGTTTTCTTATTTTAACATTCATTCATATGAAAGTAGGAGCCGATAGTGACACTGGCTTGGGGAAAGGATGAACAGGTTTGGCCAACCTTCCTGTTTTTCCATGATTTTAAAATATACTCACCTCCTCCAAATGGTCCCCAGATGACTCGGCGGATGGACTTGACCCAGTCTTCCATATCATTCTGGGTGCTCGCCATAAGGAGATAGCTCTCATGATTGGCTGTCATTCGATCTCGATCGCCTCCTGTAAAAAGACAGGAACAGTTACACATGAGTGTGTGCTCAGCCAAAGTTTCATCAGCTGCCTCCGATGAATCCCTGAAACATAAACTGTACCTAACGCAGCTAGCACTAGGTTCTACCCAATGAATCGAAAATATTTACCATGGTTTCAGCAGGGGGTAAAAAAAAGAATCTGCTTAAAAGGGAAAGGCTCTTATGTTTCCAAGAGAAAGCCAGCAAACAAATGTCATTCCCCAAACAAAGCCTAGCTTTTTGTCCTAGCAACAGCCCATAGGCCTGCATTAACTCATAATCCAGCCTATTCACCCTGCACTGCTGAATAAGGAAAAATGGCAAAAGCAAAATGAAAGATGGAGAAGTGGTCCACAGAGCCTGAGCTTTCATTCCAAGCAAGAGCTGAATGGTCTGCCTTTTCTTGGCACACACAAGGGAGGCCGCCAGGACATCATGGTTGAGAACAAGAGTCCCCGGAGAGGGTAAGAGCCACATGTGAACATCTGACCCAGAGGTTTCTCTTCTATTTTTCTGTGCTGGAAAGGGGAGCCTCTTCCCCTTGATCACACTTTCAGGGGGACAAACAAAAGAACACAGAAGCCTGGCCAGTCACAATGGCCAGGTCAACATCACAAATGGCCCTCCCACCTAAGAGTGGGCTTTAGGAAACCTCAGCAGTTAACTCCTTGCTTGTTGTTGTTCAGGTGCTAAGTTGTGTCTGACTCTTTGTGACCCCATGAACTGCAGCATGTCAAGTTTTCCTGTCCTTCAATACCTCCCAGAGTTTGCTCAAACCCATGTCCACTGAGTTGGTGATGCTCTTCAACCATCTCATCCTCTTCGCCCCTTTCTCTTTCTGCTTTCAATCTTTCCCAGCATCAGGGTCTTTGCCAGTGAGTTGGCTCTTCTCATCAGGTGTCCAAAGAATAGCTTCAGCTTCAGCATCAGTCCTTCCAATGACTATTCAGGGTTGCTTTCCTTTAGGATTGACTGGTTTGATCTCCTTGCCATCCAAGGGACCTCTCAAGAGTATTCTCCAAACCACAGTTCAAAAGCATCAATTCTTTGGCTCTCAGCCTTCTTTATGGTCCAATTCTCACATCTGTATGTAACTACTTGCTTGTTGATTTCTCTTATTTCCTCCTCCCCATTCCAGAAAGACAACACATACCCTTTAAAACCTGTATAATCTCTAAATCAATCTTGAAATGCTAGTGGTCTCTGAAGCATTTATATGTTTAAAGGAGTATTTCTGAAAACAAGTATCTGAGACTGCACTGCTTCACTCTCTTTACACATGACTAGCATTGTTCACAGAAGGAATAATTAAGAAAAAGGATCACTAAGTACTTAACTCTGAATTCTGATAATATGTCAGAATTCAATTTCTAAGGTGCTCAAACTATCTATGCACAATTTAATTTTCACTAAGTGCTGGAAAGGTGTAGCCTTGGCTTGGATGAATTCATACCCAGTGTTAAAACATTTAAGACATTGTTGTCATTTGTTTGTAAGTGATCAGAGCAGATACCCTGTCTAATTCACAGCCCTTTAGTTCTGAGAGCAGGCTATCACACCTTGCAATTGAAGGAGCTCAAAAACAGCTCCTTTATGAGGAGCTTGAGACTCCAATTTACAAGTCCCACCACTCCCTATTCTTTCACATCCAGCCTCATTTGCAAAGCTCTGAAAACTCTAGATCTTTGAGTTTATGTTCTCTGAATTTTATACAAATGTCCTAGGTTGAGAAATATTATGTTTCTAGCATGATGCAAGTTAACAGAACAGGTGAGAGGTTAGAGAAATGAAATAACTTTAAGCCAATCAGTAGAAATGTCAGCATTAGTGTTTTACATTTCAATACAGTGAATTCGGGGGTGGGGGGTGAGGGACAACATCCAATCAGTTTCCTAAAGTTTACAAATCTCTTGAATAAACAAGAGGAGCCTTTTCACTCTGAAGAGAATAACTCACTATTAGGGAACTAATGACCCTCTTACACTTCTAGGTCTATCCTAGGTTATCCTCACTTTAAATTACTTGTATCTTTAAAAGTATAGGTTCAGGATATCAGAGAAAACCCTGCTGAAACCACAATTCTATTTTCTATTAGCAGTGTATCTTCTGGGAAATCACATAACTTCTGGAAACTCAGTATTTTTAGTCATGCTTTAGAAATAACAGTCTCTAATAAATTTGTTTTGTGAAAGTCAAATGAAATGAAATTAAAATACTAGTACTGTTAGGCTGAATGAGAAATTCTGAAAATATTCATTCACCCTCATTTAACTGCCTTCTGTATCTACAAATTCAAAAGGGACATAGTACATCTAATTTGACCTCAGAGATACACAGCAAGTCGAGTATGCTACTAAGGGCTTAGGAACAATTAGTCAACAATACACACACAGGAGGCTTTTTTTTTAGAAGGCTGTCTTTCTTTGATACATAACAATGCACATTAAAATTGTATACTGTACTTGTAGGAAAATTTGCTAAGTCACTTCAGTCATGCCTGACTCTTTGTGACCCCATGGACTGTAGCCCGCCAGGCTCTTCTGTCCATGGGCTTCTCCAAGCAAGAATACTGAAGTGGGTTGTCAAGCCCTTCTCCAGGGGATCTTCCCTGTAGGAAAATTTACCACACATTAATATGCATATGCATGCCTGTGTGATGTAAGTAGCAGAAAGAACTATATGACCAAAGAAAAAATGCTTCATTTGGCATGGCACGGTACTAAAACTTTATTCTGTATCTGATCCACTTATAAAAAACATTATCATTTTGAAATAAAAATATTTTAATTATTGTCTTTGCCTGGAGGATGCTTAGCAATCCAGACCGTAATATCCTGCTGTGTCACTCCCAACCCTGGCAGAGACAGTCCTAGTAATGAGAGTAAGAGACAGCCACTGGAGTGTGTTTCTGCCTGGAAGCAGGGAAAAAAGAATGCTAAGCACTACTGGTCATTATCCCGACTTTTCGTTTGATTCTCTGTCTCTGCCAATGATGTTGTGGGTCTGACCCTGAATCTCATTTTGACTGTCAATCACAGATACAAAATCCCACCTGTGAATTTCACCCATGCATATAGATCTTGATTCTTCAGTTGAATTAGCAGAAGAGGGGGAAGAAGATTTAGAAAGACTTTTTTCTATGGGTCTCAGTGGAAATAAAAGACTCATTGCTAAGAATGTAATTAAAACAACTGGAGACATTTATATAGATATGAACTAAATTCTCTGCACTAAAGTTAACATGACTTCTAACTGGAGAAGCCATCTGTTCCTAATTCATAATCCTTCAGTTCTAAGAGTACTGTGTTCTGAGAGTACACAGTTCTGGTACTGTGCCTTGCAATTGCAGGGACTCAAAAGACAATTTATTAAATGTATGATTTGATAAATGAATAAGCTCAATGTTGACTTTCAAGGATTTGGATCAAGTTTCACTCTTAATGTTCCATTTAACTATTTAACCAAAAATTCTTTCAAAAGGGGAAATTTTAAAGTGCAACCTTAAGATGTAACTATCACCAAAGTGATAGTATTGTAGTAATCTTCAATCCACGTATATGTGTATATTGGATATATATTATAATATAACCAGTATACATTTTCCATTTGTAAACTCTGCTTGAACATAAATATCTACACAGTGCTATCTTTATTTTTTAAAACTACCTTTTAGATATTAACTTGGGTTGGTAGCAATGCTTTGGTGCTAGTGTTAACACTTTTGATTTTAAATTAACCAAGTAGGTCAAATAATTCATTTTTACTTGTTTATATGTAATTGAAAGTATGTGTACATTTTATTCGGATCTTCTGTATATTTACATTTAATATGAAGTTTTTTCTTCCCCAAAATAAAATAATTGGCATGATTAACTTTTGAAAAAATTAAAAAGTAGATTAAGAAAAGCCTAATGAACTTAATAGATTAAGAAAAAGCTTAATGTAAAATTCAAGTATGTGTGTGTGTGTGTTAGCTGCTCAGTCATGTCCAACTCTTTGTGACCCCATGGACTGTAGCCCACGAGACTCCTCTGGGATTTTTTCCAGGAAAGAATACTGGAGTGGGCTGCCAATTCCTCCTCCAATGAATCTTCCCTACCCAGAGACAGAACCCACATCTCCTGTGTCTCTTGTATTAGGGGTGGATTCTTTACCCCTGAGCCACGGGGGAAGCCCAAAGTAGATGTACAGTTAATTCAATAAAGAAATACAAATATTTACTACATGGAAACTTCAATCCCTCTTATAATGACAAAATAATAATTTAAAAGATAATACTTTTGATGAAAACCTCTGCAAAGATTTTGAATATTTAAGAGAAATATTGGGAATGGTATACCGAGATATATATGCTCACTGTTGATAAGAATATGGATAATATTCCTTATGATGAAATCACTAAAATAAGATTTTGAAGAATATTTATTAATATGAACTTTTAATACAGAAGAGAATGTACAAATTATATATATACATATGATATCTCTATTTTCATATAGATAGAAAGCCAGATAAATAAGATACTATATTAAAATACACAATAATTTTAATGATGATTATCTGTGAATGCTAGGATTGGAAAATTTTTGCTCTCTTTTGGTATTTTTCTGTATTTTCCAGATGTTCAGCCATGCATTATTTTATAATACATACATTACTCCAGATGATATACCATGTATTATTTTATCATCAGAAAGAAATTATTGTGAAGAAGAAGTGATAAGAATTGTATGTCATGAAAGCATTAATCAGCAAAAATTCCAGGTGAGCTGGAAGGTAATTATGACTAACTTCATTCAGTGCTGCTTAAAATTGTTCAATTTTGAATTTTCAGAATTCTCAGTAGGTTAATTACCTATAACCTCTTCTCCCTCTTTCCCAAAATACATCCCTGAGTACATTCCAAAGAGAGGATTTGGGCCAGCAGACCAGCATTGCTCAAAGTATAGGCTGTGTCATGTAACTAGGACTTTATCAGTAAAATAGACT